TTGAATGTAGTGGGATTACAAATGTTACACCCACATATGCCAAGGGTGTATTTCCTGGCCTCCATCACATATTTACCTTTCCTTTACATTAATTGGTTTGACTCTCAAACAATTGATAAGATAATAAATATGTGGTTAAGAGCAGTTCAGCTCAATCTCCATCTGCAAGTTCTTGTGTATTTCACTCCCATTTCAGAAGCCCCTGTCCTTTTACTTACATTTTCCTACAGAGAAAATGTATTTTATTATTACAGATTTTAACCTGGCTTCCTTGGTGAATACTTCCTGGAGTATTAGGTCATTTCTTTTTTAACCATTTATAATTGAAAATGTCTTTATCTTGGATCCAGGCAGCCATCATCCTTTGTCCAGTTCAGACCTGAAAGGCATCAGTCAATCACAGTGGTTCCTTCTAGGCCACAGTGTCTAGCACCCTAGATAACAGGTATTTCTCTTAACGTACCTCTTGTTTTCATCATCAAGAAACTCTCAGTGAGGGGCCGGCCAAGTGGCATAGTGGTTAAGTTCGCTTGCTCCACTTTGGTGGCCTGGGTTCACCGGTTCAGATCCCAGGTGCAGACCTGCACTACTCGTCAGCCGTGTTGTCGTGGCAACCCATATACAAGATAGAGGAAGATTGGCACAGATGTTAGCTCAGGTCAAATCTTCCTCAGGAAAAAAAAAACCCTCCTTTCCCCTTTTTACTGAGAGTTGTATAATGAGTAATATTTAGCCGGGTCTAGCACTCTCTTCTTGGTCCATTTGGTTGCTTCTCCTTAACAATATCTTCCTGGTTGGAGAGTGTTCTCAGTAAATGCTAGGCACTCATACCCTGCTCTCCTTTCAGTTGCAGTGATTTAACACCTGTTTCATCCCAGGAGTTTCCCCATTGGATGCTCAATTCTAAAGCCTGAAGCAGAGACCACCTTCCAAAAGGTGTCAACTCATAGAAGAGATCCACACCTTTGACATACAAGTAGAAAAGAGAGTCTGGGAGGTTTGCTAGATTCTTAACTCCATCTCTGGTAGTCAGACCTTAACTTTCATTAAATCAAGATTCTTGTATCCTCGCATCAGTGAGTCACTGAAATGTGGCATGGAGATAACTGTAAGCCTCATTTCCAAATACTCTGCTAATTTAGAGGCTCAAGGAAGAAATACATCTCCTGAATGAAACCCTTCTTTTAGCCCTAAAGGAGCTGGATGATATGACAATATACATTTTTAATGCAATTCAATAAAAAATCACTTAGTGCCATCCCTTTACTCCTGATCTCCTCCATGTGCTTCTTGGCTCAAAAGCTTTCAGAATTAATACAACCCCAGGGGGAAATGTTGAATTGTGCTCTAACTTTATGTTTGACGTGGACTGAGCGTCTTTGGCCATGTCAACTAATCTTCTTGGCCTTAATATATTATCTATCAGTTAACTTTCTTATTAAATGGGTTTAATATTTTTTCTGTTGTCTTAATGGGATGGCAGAATAAAAAGGAAAGGATATTGTAAACTTTCTATAGATATAAAAGGTATTTTCTCAACTCACTTCAATAAGGACGGGGATTATCAACCAAAATTCAAGGCGCCAAGTTAGGTAGGAGGGATTCAGTGTTGACCAAGACATAGTTCCTGAACATTGCTAAGCTTCGTTAAGATTTGGGGTTTAGAACAAGAGTTTAACAAAAGAAATGTAGGACGTGTACATTGAAACTACAAAACACTGTTGATAAAAATTAAAGAATATCTAAAAGAATGAAAAGACATCCCATGTTCTTGGCTCAGAAGACTTAATATTGTTAAGATGACATATTCCCCAAATTGATCTACAGATTCAATCTGTAGAAAGGGATGGAAATCTGTATCAAAATTCCAGCTGCCTTTATCACAGAAATTGACAAGCTGACTCTAAAATTCATATGAAAATGCAAGGAATCCAGAACAGTCAAAGCAAGCTTAAAAGAGAAGGGCCAAATTGGAAAACCAACACTTGCCAATTTCAAAACTTATTACTACAAACTTTATTACTACTAGAAAGCTACAGTAATCAAAACAGTGTAGTATAGCATAAGGCTAGATATACTGATCAATGGAATAGAACTGATTCCCCAGAAATAATCCCATACATTTATGGCTGTCAGCTTGGGCTGCTATAACAAAATACCATAAACTAGATGGCTTATAAACAACAGAAATTTATTTCTCACAGTTCTGGAGGCTGGGGTTCCAAGACCAGGGTGCCAGTATGACCCAGGTCTGGTAAGAGCCCTCTTCTGCGTTGCAGACTACAGACTTGTTACATCCTCAGATGCTGGAAAGAGAGTTAGCTAGCTCTCTGGCCTCTTCGTATAAGGGCACTAATCCCATTCAGGAGGGCTCCACTCTCTTGACCTAATTACTTCCCCAAAGGCCCAATTCCAAATACTATCACACTGGGAATTAGACTTCAACATATGAATTCTGGGGGGACATAAACCTTCAGTCCAAAACAATGGCCAATTGATTCTGGCAAGGGTGTTAAGACAATTCAATGGGTAAAAAATAACTTTTTCAACAAATAGTGCTGGGACAATTTGATATCCACATGCAAGAGAATGAATTTGGATACCTACCTCACTCACACCATGCACAAAAATTAACTCCAAATGGATCATACACCTAAATGTAAAATCCTAAAACTTCTCGAAGAAAATACAAGAGTAAATGTTCACGACGTTAGGTTAACAATGGTTTCTTTCTTTTTTTTTTTCTGAGGAAGATTTTCCCTGAGCTAACATCCACTGTCAATCTTCTTTTTCTATGTGAGCCGCCGCCACAGCATGGCCACTGACAGAAGAGTGGTGTAGACCCATGCCCAGGAACTGAACCCAGGCCGCCGAAGCGGAGTGCACTGAACTTAACCACTAGGCAACCACGGCTGGCCCAGCAATAGTTTCTTACACATGACAACAAAAGCACAAGAGACCAAAGAAAAAAGAGATAAATTAGACTTCATCAAAACTTATTAAAAACTTTTACGTTTCAAAGAGAAACAAGAAAGTGAAAGACAACCAATAGGATTGAGAGAAAATGTTTGTAAATCACATATCTGACAAGGGACTTGTATCCAGAATATATAAAGAACTCTTACAACTCAACAACAAAAAGATGCTATTAAGTAATCCCATTAAAAATGGGCAAAGAAATGAAACAGACATTTCTCCAAAGATGTACAAATAACCAATAAATACATGAAAAGATGTTCAATATAATTGTTCATTAGGGAAATGTAAATTAAAATCATAGTGAGATACCACTTCTCACCCACCACAATGACTAAAATCACAAAGACAGACAACAAGTGTTGGCCAGGATGTGAAAAAATTGGAACACTCGTACTCTACTTGCGGGAAGGCAAAACGTTGCATCCACCTTGAACTATAGTTTGGCAGTACTTTAAAAAGTTAAACATAGAGTTATCATATGACCCAGCCATTCCACACCTAGATATATATACCCAAGAGAAATGAAAACATCTGTTCACCCAAAAATGTGTACACAAATGTTCATAGCAGCATTATTCATAATAGCCCAAAAGCAGAAACAACCCAAAGGCCCATTAAATGATGAATGGCTAAATAAAATGTTTACAGACCCACAATAGAATATTATTTCACAATTAAAAGGAATGAATAACTGATACATGCTACAACATGAACATACCTTGAAAATATTATGCTAAATAAAAGAAACCAGTCACAAAGACCACATAATGTATGATTCCATTTATGTGAAATGCCCATAATAGACAAGTCTATAGAGACAAAGTTGATTAGTGGTTCTCTAGGACTAGAGGTGGGGGTGAAAAAACAAGAAGCGACTGCTAATGAATATGGGATTTCTTTCTGGGGTTATGAAAATATTCTGGAATTAGATAGTGATGATGTTTACACAACGCTGTGAACACACTAAAAACAAATGAACTGTACTTTATAAATGAGTGAATCATATGGTATGTGAATTATACCCCAACAATGCTATTTAAAAAAATAATAGGGGGCTGGCCCCTTGGCCTACTGGTTAAGTCCTAAATGGTCTGCTTTGGTGGCCCAGGTTTGCAGGTTCCGATCCCAGGTGTGGACCTACACCATTCATCAAGCCATGTTGTGGCAGTGACCCACATACAAAATAGAGAAAGACTGGCACAGATGTTAGCTCAGGGCTAATCGTCCTCAAGCAAAAAAAAAGGGGGAAGACTGGCAACAAATGTTAGCTCAGAGTGAATCATCTTCACCAAAAAAAATATAAAAAATAAATAATAGGTAGGAGATTATGACAGCCATTTAAAAACTAAAAAGATGGAGATCCATATAAACTTTTGATGGCTATTTGTGGTGAGATTCTGTTTTAATTTACACAAGCAATAGCATGTTGTGGCCTGCCTGATTTTAAAAGTCTAGTCCTGCTGGGAAGAATTTCTTAGGTGACTATTATGTGGTTTGTAGATGCTTCACCCAATTGCCGATGCCTCCCATAAAGCTGTCATACAAATTTCAAATACAGATCACTAGATCAGATATTGAAGACTGGGACGGATTACCCAAAAAGGACCATAGCTTTATTTTCAGTTGCCATTGTGTTTCCACGAGCTTCTTTTCCTGTTGTTGTTTCCTCTTGACGTCTGAATTTTCCTGTTGCATTATTTTCTTGTGTCTTATTTTCACTATGGGTTTGTTCTTTTTATCCCTCATAGCAACCATGACCCAAAAGTTCAATTTGACAGCAATTAAAATAATACCTTTAGAGTGAATGCCAAATTCTCCACAAAAACGTGTCATAACACTACAGCAGCCATGAATTTCCCTTGCCTGGCCAGACACGGTGTTTGAAAATATGCTAAGACCGATATCTAAGAGTATACTGCCCATGTTTTCTTCTAGAAGTTTAATGGTTTCGGGTCTTACACTCAAGTCTTTAACCCATTTTGAGTTAATTTTTTTGTACAATATAAGATAATGGTCTGCTGTCATTCATTTGCACGTGGCAGTCCAGTTTTCCCAACACCATTTATTGAAGAGACTTTCCTTTCTCCATCGTATGCTCGTGGCTCCCTTGTGGAAAACTAGCTGTCCGTACATGTGTGGGTTTATTTTTGGACTCCAGATTCTGTTCCTTTGATCCGTGTGTCTGTTTTTGTGCCAGTACCATGCTGTTTTGAACACTGTAGCTTTTAGTACAGTTTGAAGTCAGAGAGTGTGATACCTCCAGCTTCGTTCTTTTTTCTCAGGATTCCTTTGGCTTTTGGCCCTATCACAAAACGGCCAACAAGCGGTGACCGCGGATGAGTCAGTTCTCAGGGTTTCTATTTCCTCATCTCTCCAATGGGGGTGGTCATACTTGCTCTGCCAACATTACAAGGTTTGTCAGCATAAGCCAGAGATAAGGAACGTGAACAACATAAAGTGATAAAGAAATAAAAAAACAGCAGCAGTGGTTGCTAACATTTAGATACAAGAGAAGGAAAAGATACCGACGTGAAACAGCCAACTCAGGCTCTGAGGCGTTCCGTTTCTATTGGTTCCCTTCCCTGGCCCCAACCACCTTCAGCTTCCTTTAGGGACACCCTCCGTTCTGCATGGAGAAAGCCCCTCCCAGTAAAGTAAGTCTTCCTCTTTGTAGCACCGGCAGCTTGGAACCTGCTGGAAGCGTGTTGTGAAAATGAGCAGAAACCTGCTAGAAGCTAAAATTCAGCTTCCGCACGATCAGCCCCGGGCCAGGGTGTGCAGCGCCTCCCCGCGAGGCAGCGGGGGCTGACTGGCAGATATTGCCTGAACGCTCATTAATCAAAAGAGGCTTTCGCCCCGGACGCCCCTGGGTCTTGGGCAGAAAGAGACTCGGCTGCGGAGGTGTCAGGGCTGGGAGCCTCGAGGCCCTCCCCGCTCTCAGCAAGCGGCCGCGGCGTTAAATCTGACGCTCCCACCCGGGTAGAGAAGGGATCGATGATGTCCTGGATGCGGGTTTTCAGGGAAGATGCTCCTCGCGGTCCCGCGCCTGCTCGGGAAGACGACTGAGCGCGGAGCCCGAGCGCTGGGCACGCCGCCCCGGAGCCGCGCCGCGCGCGTCTGCACCGCCGAGCCGCCTCCCAGCCCTTTTTACCCAATTTGCCTTCCTGCCGCAGTCCGGGCCCAAATTAGCTCTCTTCATTTGTGAGTGAGCACCCACAAGTTCCCCGGGCACGATCCTTCCATCTGTTCCCCGGGGGGAGTCCAGTTTTTCAACGATTAACCTCCCAGCCACGGGGCGGAGGGAAGGTGGCGGGATGAAGGGAGTGGGGCGGGGAGAGGCATTTTGCTTGTTCAAGGGCACCGAAATTAGCTGCCAACGCTAAAAAGGTGTGCTTCCTTCGGTTTTTGGCAAACAAATGCAGTGGGATGCCTGCTTGGCCGACCGCTGCCCCGGCCCGGAGCCCCGGGCTCACTTGGCAGCCTGCTGCTGAGTTTCAGACCGCAGTCCTGCTTAGCGTCCGCGGGGCTTCGCCCCTTGCCAAAGTCTGCAGATGGATGGATGCTGGGCGCAGGCTTTCCCTGGGCAGGTTCACGTTGGCTTAGGCCAAAGCCCCAAACCTTCCACCTTGCGCCTCCTGTTTGTCTGCCCGCCACGCACCCCCCGCCTCCACCACCAAAGGACGTGCCCCTTTGGTAGTGTCGGGGCTCCAGCCGGAGCGAGGGGGAGGGCGCCTCCCTCTCCCCTCCTCCTCATCCCCGCCGCGGCTCGGGGTTTTACTGCAGCAGCCGGAGGTGACAGCGACGCCTTAGCCTCCTCCGTAGCTCTCAGAGCCCCGGCTTTCCCTGCATCCGGAAAGCGCCCCCTCCTGAGAGGCTGGTCCCCGAAGAAGTGGAAACGAGCTGCAGAAAACCCAATTTAAAAATGTAGAAGTCGCTGGGCTGCATTCCTCCGAGGAAGAGCCTGATCGCCCAGGACTGAGAGTGGCAGCGTGTGGGAAGTTGGGACCGTAGAGCAAGGGGGGAGGGGACTGGTGCAGCCGGCATTCTCTTCTGCAAGGAGTCGCTGGGAGCAGTGCGGTTGGACGCAAGTTTGCGTGGGAGTGTTTTCCTTTTGTCAATAATTAATCACCGGAATCAGTCTGGCAGAATTGGAGTTTTAGCAGTAGTGCAGAGGGCGGGGCCGAACACCTAACTCCAGGAGGCACCCAGGCGCCCAGCGCAGTGGGAAGCTCGCAGCCGCTGGGGAGGAGCCAAGCGTCGGTGCTCACCTAAGACGCAAGATGTACCCAGCCGAGAGGTAAGCATCTTCCGAAATATCTGCTTGAACCGTAAAGTACCTTCGGTAGGATAGAATTCCTGTCTTTATAAGGGAAAAAATTAATACCTACCTTTAATACAATTTATCAGTTTATTATTTAACTGCATTAACATTTTAAGAATTGAATGGGTTTTTCCATTTGCCTTTAACTATGTTAGAAACTAAGATGTTTCACTCAACAGAAGCCAAACTTTACTTTTGAAACTTTCCCAGACTAAAGAAGAGACAACTACTTTGTTAATTGCTTTAGTTACTTGTCATTGTGTAATAATTTGGGGTAATAGCTATTGAGGGAAGTATCATTGGGGTGCTTGGCTTCATTCTTAAATATTCACCTTTATCTGGTTTCATGCTCTTATACAATACTTTTTGCCCATAAGCTCCTTCAGGCAATAATACACACAAGTCGACTGCCCAAAGAGTGAAGACTTTCCAGCAAGGAATACATTTTTACATTTTCCCTTGATTATTAAGCAGAACGTATTTTCTCAAAGATGCTTAAGTGATCATTTATAAGTAACTAGACTTCTAAACCCAATGATAAAGGTATAGTTACCTTTGCTGTGGGGGTGGGGATGTGGGGGGATGGCTAGAGAAGGGTTTTAGATATGAGCAGAGATTCTAGAGCTGTTTCAATTAAGGTGACATTCAACTTGTTGGCAATTAACATATGAGGCCAGCCCATGATCAAATAATTAATTTGAAGAATTGTTAAAAGTAAATCTTAGCCCCAAAACTACGAATAAATGTATCAGGGAAGTTGGGAAAGTAGTTTTTCTAAAAGACTTTGTCGCACAGTAGTTCTTTTGAACTAAACAAAACTTGAGAAATATCTGGTCATTTTTGCTTGTGAGCTTATTAGATTAATGCATCAAAACTTAATGAGGTTTTAATGTCTTGATTTTCACATCTGAATTATTCCCGTGCCTTTTAAAATAGGCATCATATGACTTTCAATGGCTGTGCAAGTTCTCTTGACTTTCAATAGATTACTAGAGCAACAACAAGCTCTCATATGAAATACACTGTCACCCCCATTATTCAAATATTTCTATACAACTATTTGCTTAGGAACAATAAATTAAGGATGGTCTGACTGGATATGAAGTTGAAAGTCAACTGGTAGTCAACTTCAATTGGTTTTCTTTATCCACCGTTTGTAAATTTCTGAATACTTTTGTAAAAACTGTCCTTTGTAATTCTATATCTACTATGTTGGCACAAACTATTTTACCACCAAGTATACAAAATGCAAAATCTTCATTAACAATTATCCAAATGGACTCAGCTTCCTGAATGGTGGTATGAGGAGCTCTGTGAACCCACTCCTTAGCAAAACGACAATAGCTGGTGAAAATTACGGATAAACAACTATTTAGTCTCTGGAAATTGTCCTGAGGAAATACAACAATAGAGAAAAGTTTATTTAAGACAGTTTACTAAATTTCAGTAAGAACAGCAATAGTTTGTAGAATTTGAGCCACAACTCCCATTCCCATCCCCTCCAGCTGGGTGTGATGGTACTCCACTCCAGGTGGGTGCAGCCAAGGACACTGAGCTCCGTCTCAACCTAGATCCCTGTCTAGGGCTGTGTTGTATCCCTGGGAAAGCAGGCCACCAGCATCTCATCCACCCCAGCTTTGTGTTGCAGAAGCTCTCTTCTAGGCAAAAGAAGATGAGAAGTCTTCCTCCAACCATCCCCCATTCTTAAGGCAAAAGAAGAACTCAACAATGGAAAGACAGATAACCCATTTAAAAGTGGGGAAGGGATTTGAATTGACATTTCTCCAAAGAAGATGTACAAATGGCCAATCAACACATGAAGAGGTGCTTACACAGTCTTTAGTCATTATGAAGATCAAAACCACAAGGTACCACTTCACACCAACCAAAATGGCTATGATCAAAAAGACAGATAATAACAATTGTTGGAGAGGAGGTGGAGAAATTGGTACCATCAAATATTGCTGGCGGGAATGTAAAATGGTGAGTTGCTGTGGAAGATAGTTTGGTAGTTCCTCAAAAAGTTGAACATAGAGTGACCATATAACCCAGCCATTCCACTCCTAGGAATGTATCCAAGAGAATTGAAAACATATGTCCCTGTAAGTACTTGCACAGAAATGTTCACAGCAGCATAACTCATACTAGCCAAAAAGTGAAACAACCCTAGTGTTCGCTGACTGATGAATGGATAGATAAAACGTGATATGGAATGGAATGATGGAATACTATTTAGCAATAAAAAGGAATGAAGTACTGATACGTGCTACAAGATGAATGAACATTGAAAAGATTATGCTAAGTGAAAGAAGACCACATAGTGTATGATTCCATTTATATAACATATCCACAGTAGGCAAACTTATAGAGACAGAAAGTAGATTAGTGGTTGCATATGGCTGGAGTAGGAGGTTGGAATTGGGGAGGAATGGACAATGACTTCTAAAAGGTACAAGGTGTCTTTTTGGGGTGATGAAAATGGTCTAAAATTGACTGGTGATGGTTGCATAACTGTGAGTATACTAAAAACCATTGGATTGTGTACTTTGGGTGAATTGTATGGCGTGTGAATTATATCTCAATAAAACTGTTTTCTATATATTATCCAACGTACTAAAAGAACAGATGGGTTTAGAACTTGGAGTTCATGAATCCCCAGGTACCACCAAACCAATAGTTTACAAGCGGGTTTTTCCCAAAGGCCACATTGAAATACATGAAATAATTAACAGTGGCACAGGTGTTACACAGCTATGTGATTTGCATATGTTTACAGACCTGCCCAGTCTTTCCTCTGTTTAGAAATAAGTCAAAAGTCATTAAAGCAGTTCTGTAGAGAATTCACTTGCAATGCCTTATCTTTTTGGACTCACCAACTCTTATTAATCCAAGCCCAGTGAGGCCAGTTGTTCCTCCTGCTTCTAGATAAGTCAACTTCTTTATCAGTTCTTTAGGCCAGTAGTTGAGAGGCCACAATGGTGAGAGGGGGAGTTACCTGAATCTCAGCCAGAAGCATACTTGTCTGCCACTCAGGTTAGCCAGGTTTTGCCTACCTTAGATTGGCCCTGGGAGAACTGGGGCAGCCACTGTAGTTCTCAGAGCGCGCTGACATGTCATTCCTGAGGAGTATCTCCTGTGATGACGACATCTCAAATACAGGAGAAGCTCCCAGATAATAAACTCTTCTATTCATCTTTTATGGTTTGAGTTCCCATAAATTGCCGAATCCTGTACTAAGAACCGTGGAATTGGATAATAATGCTTTGTTCAGAAATAGGAATATGAAATTGGTGAGTCTCCAAGTCTCATGGGGGTGTAAGCAGCACCTGAACTTGCTGCCAGGAGCAGTTATGGTACACTCAACCAAACCATGCCCTCAGCTTTAGGGATCAGTAAGTCAGCCAGCATCAGAAACCCCGAGATTTCCCATTCTCACCAGCACAGGCTTATCTTTCCATGTATATGTTTAAAAGAGGATACCATGCTGATGGAAATGGTTCCATATGGTTTTTGACCATCAAAGCTTTTGTAGAGGTCTTTTTATCATATTTTCTCGATTAGAAGATTTCTATAAAATAATTTTAAATGTACAACCAGCTGTCTGTAAATTAAATACATGTAGAAAAAACTTGATCATAGTTATTATTTATTAATATTGCTTTGATCAGGATCAATAATTCATTTATTCAACAGATATTTATCATGCATCTACCTTGTAACAGGACAATTATAGGCTCTGGATGAGTAATAAACAAAACGGACAAAAATTCCTGCCTTTGAGAAGCTTAAATTCTAGACAGGACATCAGACATCAAACAAAAAAATAATAATAATGGGTGAATTATTGTATATAGTGTTGTATGTTTTATGTTGTTGTATATTGTGTAGTGTATGAGAAGGAGGTGAGGGCTCTGGAGAAAAATTAAGCAGGCAAAGGAATGAGGTACAATTTTGAACTGTGGCATCAAGCCAGGAAGTAGAATTATGTAATTAGGTAATGTAAAGATCACGTACAAACCTGGTCGCCGTGACTCTGGGCTGGGCCAGAAGGATGACCAGCTCCAAGTTCACTTCTCTTCCCCTTTGCTTAGCTTCCCAACAGCATTATTTTGCTACCTTGATTTGCTGCCTGTTCGCTAAGAAAAGTATTATATTAGTCCCAACACACTCCAAGCAGGCACAAGGAAGGCGTAACCTAATATCTGCTCTGAAGAACGACGGCCTCGACAGAACCCTGCCTTGTGAGGACGGCAGTTCTGTTGAGGGAAATCATTCGCCCCGGCGTTCAGTTTTCTTTTGGCCTTTCTCTCTCTCACTTTGGCCTGGATTCTTGAGTCTGCCAGAGGATTGTGTGGTAAATAACTAAGAACCGCGTCCCCAAAGTTAACACATTTTGAAGAGTGAGAGGGTGGGGGAGGGGTTGAGGGGAAGAAAAATTTCCAGGCCGTTCTGGAAAGGTGAGAGAGAACAGATCTTTCAAACTGCAGCAGGGGGCATGGAACCCCACAGATCAACTGGAAAAAAGAGGGAGAAAGCAACCTGTGCATCTCCACTTTCCCAGACTGTCCCAGAATCTCTGCTCAGGGCACCTGGCTTAAAAGACACCTGAGGACACATTGTTCTAGTAAAATATAATGGGTGTGGCAGCTTTCCTGCAATAGAGCTTTTAGAAAATGGCTTAAAAGGGAGCAGCAACTTGATTTTTTTAAGTCGAAAGGGAACATTTTGTTTCAGGCTTAGAGGAGAAGCATTTAAGAATGGTCAGAGTCACGTTAGAAATAAGTCAGAAGACTTGCTGTTACAATGGAGTTATTATGGAGCATTAGAATTCTCGTTCATTTATGTGACAGATTTTAGCCAAGCAGCCACTATATGCCAGGTGCTGGGGGAACCACACATAGGGGGACCTGGCTGCAGAGACCTTTCTTTGTAGAGGTTACATTATATGCCTTTTGCTACAAAATAGTTGAAGCGCACAGTGATGAAGACAAGAACTTTTGACCTGCCTGTCCTAACACCCCCTCCAGACTGGGCTAAGGCCGCCTTCTGTGCCCCAGAGTGCCTTACAGCACGTCTCACACGTGTGGGGATGCTTGCGTAACTGTCCCTTCTCCTCTCTAGAAAGTGGCCTGCGGAGAGTGACGGCATCAGTCTTACTTATAATTTACATCCCGAGTACATGCTTGCTGAATATTTGATTGCATGGATGGTTGGATGGATGGATGACTCGTCAGGTCATGATCAGAGCTCTTTGCACTGAGAGGCCGTCTGGCAGAGTGGTTAAGAGCGCATGGTCTACATTAGCTGTGAGGCTTTGGCTCAATTTTTGAATTTCCCAGTGCCTCAGTTTCCTCATTTGTAAACTGGGTCTAGAAATAGCGCCTCCATCATAGTGTTGTTAAGTGAACTGCATAAAGTGATACACATAAAGTGGTCAGCAAAGTTCTGGGACATAAGTTGCTCAATAAATATCTGCTATTATTACTAGTATAGAATGGGCAGTTTCCTGGGTGACAGTTCACTACTCAAACATTGCATCCTTGCCCTTTCAGCTTCATCATAAGATCTCAGGATGTCAGTTAGGAATTCCAAGCTAAAGTTTTCACTTTGCTCTCAAGATCTTTGAAAAGATTGAAAAGAGAATTTGGAGGGCCAGCCCGGTGGTGTAGTGGTTAAGTTCGTGCACTCCACTTCAGCGGCCCAGGGTTCACAGGTTCAGAACCCAGGCACAGACCTACAAGCTGCTCATCAAGCCATGCTATGGCAGTGTGCCACAGATAAAATAGACAAAGATTGGCACAGATGCTCGCTCAGGAACAATCTTCCTCACCAAAATTTAAAAGAGAATTTGGAAATGAATGTAAGTAAGATATTCAACAAGAAAATTAAAAGGACTAGAAAAAGAAAGAAGGAAAAAGCTCAAGATGGCATATCCAAAGCAGCTTTTCAGGGGCAATGATACCTCGACTGCCCTCACACCCACAGCCCCCCACAGACGGCCAAAGTACAGTTCATCTCTGTTCTGGAACATACTTGTGCCTCATAGAATGTCGTGGCCAGTAAGCATCAAGAAGTGTTCCCTGATGCAGAAGAGAAAGAAAAGTGAAAAAGAATTTATTCAAAGTGGAGTCTTACCTAAACCTTTTTACCTTTGTTTCTTTTGAAAACTGAAGAATGCTCTTTTTGTGTAGGACCTTTAGCCAGAATTATCACAGCGCCTCCTCATATGCGGTCATCCATCACCTTCTCAGTGAGATGAAATGCCAGCCTGTGAGCAACTGTGGACACCTAGCTTTAACGCCTCCCTCCACTTCCATCAGAGAATCCGCTTGTCGCCTTCCCCAGCCATGAGGGAATCTCATGTTTTGTTATCTTCTTCTAAGAATAGTAAACTCCTTCTCCTTTATTAACTCGTCCACTGAAGAGTATTTTTAAAGTAAAATTAGCTTAGAGTCACTTTATTGGTAGGAAAAATTAGGCATAGAAAGAATGTGTCACTGACCCCAATACTTCAGTTACCAACGCTTTTTATTCCTGAAGGCTGCAGATACTTCATCTACTCCACAAGGGAGAGCTCAGTCCTTAAATTTTTAATAGGATGTTTTATTGCCTAAAACTTTAAACAAAGAAAAAAAAATCAATCAGGTTGGCCTACTTCTGGTTTTGATGGACAGGAAAATCAGGTTATAATTTAGGACAAAAATGTTGTTCTACAGGTTTCCTCCATTTAGGAGGAAACAAACACGGATGCAAACAAAAAACAGGTGATATGGTACCCTGTGGACTGTGGGTGAATTCTTTCTCCCAGACTCATGAAATCACCATCTTACCCACTTATACTTACAGCATACGTCTCTGAAAGGTTCAAAGTAGTCACCTGAAAGGAATCTCTTAGAAGGAGAGGAAATAAAATGCATGTAGAAAATAAGAGGAACAAATAATAGTTGTGATAAAAGTTACCATCTTTGAGCCCTTACTAAGACCAGGCACCTTCAAGCATCCTTTACCAATGTTGTGTTGTGTAATCTTCACGACGACGCAGAAATAATGATTCGTCTCTGTGTTAGTGAAGACATAACTGATGCCCACAGACATTAAACAACATCCTGAATATCACACAATAGCAAACCCCAGTTTGCCAGTTTTGAAATCCATGCTCGTTTATTAGGGCAAAAAAAAAGTTTAATGAAGCAAATCATTCTCCAGTGGAATATTGAATTCTCTTGTAGAAATAGGGATGTTCAATTTGATGAATCATAGTAATCTCTTCTTAAAACCTTCCTCCTGATTGATAACAACCCTCAGAAGGTGCTGTCCAGCCTCTTGAGCAGTCTCCGTAATGAAATTCTCCCTACTTCAACCAGGCAACCCCTTCCCCTTTAGAGAGCTCTTATTGTTTAAAATTTGTCCTGAGATTCACCTCTGAGAACAATAAAACAATTCTAAACCTTCCCCTACATGACAACCTGTAACACCATTTAAAACCTTTTAGATCTTTTAAGACCTCCGTGACACATTCTTCCCACCAAATCCTCTCACAATGTTTCCCACTGGGAGCCTTCCAGACTTTCTCCATCTAGCTTCCTATGGATGTGCTCGACTTTCTGGAGTGACCGTTTTCAACAGCTAGGAGAATGATGCTAATCAAAGTCCAGAACCGTAGCCCTCTTTTCTCATCTGTGGCACAGTACTTCTGTAAATAAATAAGAATATTGGTGCTGTGGTCTGAATGTGTCCCCCTAAAATGCATTTGTTGAGTCCTAACCCCTAAAGGTGATGGTATGCGGGGGTGCCTTTGGGAGATTCTTAGGTCATGAGGATGGAGCCCTCGTGAATGGGATTAGTGTTCCTATAAAAGAGGCTCCAGAGAGCCCCCTCGCTCCTTCCACCATATGAGGACACAGTGAGAAGATGCCAGCTGTGAACCAGGAAGAGGGCCTTCACCAGAACACAACCATGCTGGCACCTTGGTCTTGGACTTCTCAGCCTCCACAACTGTGAGAAGTAAATTTCTGTTGTTTATAAGCCACCCAGTCTGTGGTGTTTTGTTATGACAGCCCAAATGGACTAAGACAATTGGATCACTTATTTGTTTATTTGCCAACCATTTCACAACACTACTGACTCATAATGAACTTGAAGGCAAGTAAAATTCCTTAGTCTTTTTTTTTTTTTTTAAAGATGGCCACCTGGGCTAACATCTGTTGCCAATCTTTGTTTTCCCCTCCTCCTTCTTCTCCTCCCCAAACCCCCAGTACATAGCTGGATACTCTAGCTGTACGTCCTCTAGTTCTATGCGTGACGCCACCTCAGCGTGGCTTGACGAGGGTGCTATGTGCACACCCAGCATCCAAACCGGTGAGTGCTGGGCCACCGAAGCAGAGCGCGCGAACTTCACCACTCGGCCGTGGGGCCAGCCCCTTCTTAATCTTTTTTACTTAAACTGATCATAGGCCACATTTTCCCCATCTTACCCTTGGACAATTGACTTTTGTAACTGAAGAACAAGACTTTATATTTCCCCTAAAGTTTTATCCTCAGTTTTCTTGGAATTCTGTAATCTGCTAAGACTTAATTCAGACGGACAAAAATGCTACAGTGGTCAGGACGAAAGGCAGAGGCCTGGGCTAACCACTAAGCACCCACTGACGATCTCTATGATGCTTCACCGATTACAAAACGCTTTCACAAACATTATTTCATTTAATTCTTACAACCGCCCTCTGAATAAGGTGCTATCATCATTATATATGTGAGTCAAAGATTCAGAAAGACTATCTAACTTGCCTGATGTGACAGAGCTAATAATTGACAAAAAACGACAATAGAGAAAACAAGACTTGGGGCTTCTGACTGTATTTCCAGTGCTTGTTCAAAGACAGATTTTTAAATACAGTGATTAAGCTAATCTCTTTCTCCTTCTTTTTTAATCCCCCATGGATATCAACAGAGACTAATTAAAATCAAGAAACATTTTCAACAAATAAAATCTCACTCAGGAGCCCAGTATACAAAGCAGATTAAAAGCAGGCAGCTCTGATAGAAGCAAGGTGGAGGGCTCTTAGCCTCTGTCCTTTCGTCCCACCTGGGGCCTCCCCTCAACCTGCGGTAAATGGTGATGAGGTACCTGATAGTCTCCAGAGTGCTTTGGGAAGTCATTAACCAATGGCATGTCCTCAAGCTATAACCTCTAAAAATAATTTTTAAAATAAGGCTAGCTTGTCATGCTGTGTTTTTATAATACATTCTAGAATTTTGTGGGAGATCATCCATTTAAGAGGGTTAATAATCTTTTAGATGGAACAGAATTGTTTTAAAGTTTGAAGGCATCTTTGGGTTTATTTAATTGAAATCTTTATTTCACAGATGAAGAAACAGCCACCTAGAAAGGAGAAGTAGCCCGCGTAGGATCATTCTGCAGAGGAGCAAGGACCAGAAACCAGACCTGGACCCTCCTAGGCAGGTAACTTCTGATTATATCGTGGAGTCTTGCTTTTAGAAATGTGACCCTTTTGATTACAACATGACTTCTTTAACAAGATGAAGCTGCTGGTTCTCGCTTAAGCAACCAACAAACATTTATTATATACTTGATATTATAATGGGGTTTAAGATGATACAAAGGAGTAAAATGTAGCAATTCACTTAAGTAATAAGGCCTTGAAACAGGGTTCTTAGCTTACAGACACTATAGCCTCCTTTAAAGTGTATGCAGAAAAATGTTTATGCAGAATTTGCAAACATTTCAAGGGGTTCGTCGATGCCCACAGCCCCACCACGTTCCTGGTTGAGAACCTCTGGCCACCCAGTGCACGTGCCAATGTCAGGCTGCACAGCACCAGCTGCTATCTTATTTATGGGTCTGCTGCTTAAAGGCTGCTTCTGTTTCGGCGCCCTTCATATTTTATTTAAATAGAGCAGCATCTTATCCCGGAAGACTTCATACAAGAGAGGAGTAAATATTTTAATAAGTGTTTAATTAACCAGATGGGACAAATTAAGAGAGAAATATGATAAAATGAAAACATTTTCTTGCAAAAAATGTTAACAATGAAAGTGAGGATGGTCAGTGTTCATCGTAGAACATTCATTTTCTTTGTATTTCTTTTATTTTCAAGAAAGCAAGAAAGGAAGGGGAGGGGAGAGGAGAGGAGGGGGAGGGGAGGAGAGGGTGAAAAACCTAGACGACCACTGGCTACCCGCCCACTTTCATTAAATCTACAGTAAATGGAAAAAAGAGTGGGAGGTGTGGACAAAAATAAATAGATTTATCTTCTGAATGATAGTTTCTTAATCCTTCCCTCTCACTACAATGTTTTAAGAGACTTATGGTTCTGAAACAGTTGGCAACAATTTCTGCATTTCCAAACAGTTTGGGAACCTCCCATATTACGTTAAAGTTACTGATAACCAGGCTTGATTTGACTAACTCAGAAGATCCTTACTGAACACTTAGCATTGTAGAGAGCTGTTCGAGGAGGTGGTACGGAGTGGCAGAAACACCAGGTCAGAGGGAAAGAATCCTAGGACTGATCCCAGCGCTGTTTCCTCCTTGGCTTCTGACAAGAAGCAAGGCACAAAAACTTAATGAGCCTCAGTTTCCTCATCTTTGAAATCAAGTAACATATTTTTTAATCTCCTTTATGACAGCCACACCAGAACTGTATAAACATTCTGAAGGACAGTCTCTCTCTAAAAGTGGCTTCTAGTGCTGAGGCGGCATCCCACATGCCACAACTAGAAGGAGCCACAACTAAAAAAAATATACAGCTATGTACCGGGGGGTTTTGGGGAGAAAAAGGAAAAAATAAAATCTTTAAAAAAAAAAAGTGGCATCTAATTTAATAACTGATAAAGTTCACGTTGTCTGCCTTAAAAATGATCTCATTCTCTTTCATTCTTTTCTTTTCTTTTATTTTTTATTTATATGCTTGGTAGTCATAGCCTTAGCAATGGTGTAGTAATCTGTTAGTATAGTGTGTAGTAATTATAACAGTTAGCATTCATTTAGCCCTTCCTGTGTATTATTCTAAATACTTTACACTTTTTAATCTTCCCAGTAATTGTCTGAATGAAGTTCTATTATCATTCTTGTTTTCCAGTTGAGGAAATTGAGTCAGAGTGGTTGAGTGACGTAGCCAGGATCAAACCTAGACAGGATCCAGAGCCAGAGCTCGTCACTACTCACCATGCCGCCTCTCAGCAGGATTCTCACCCAGCTCCCTATGTGGTCACCGCGGTTGGGTCTCAGTTTCTTCATCTTTAAAATAGGAATCGTTTAAGTTAAGCATCTGGCCAGTCCCTGCCACAGTGGTACTTAATAAATGCTGTTTCTGTTCCCTGAAGAGAATTCCATATTTTAAGATTTAAGATTCCACATTTTAAGTGTTTTCAAGGAAGACATCTGAATTTGTTTCCTAGGGCTGCTGTACCAAAGTACCACAACATTGGTGGCTTAAAACAAGCGAAATTTACTCAGATAGTTCGAGAGGCGAGAAGTCTGAAATCAAGGTGTCAGCAGGGCTGCACTCCCTCCAAGGCTCTAGTGGAAATTTCTCCCTTGCCTCTCCCAGCTTCTGGTGGTTCCAGGTGTTCCTTGGCTTATGGCTACACAAGTCCAATTTCTGCCTCTGTCTTCGCATGGACTTCTCTGTGTCTCTCTTCTGAAGACACTTGTCATTGGATTTAGGACTGACCTGGGTAATCCAGGATGATCTCTTGCCAAGATCTGTAACTTAATTACTTCTACAAAGACCCTTTCCCAAATAAGGGCACATTCACAGATTCTAGGATGTGGACATATCTTTTTGGGGGTCCACCATTCAACCTACCACAATATCTTAATCCAAATATCTTTATGTCTTGGGAGATTTCCTCTAGTATTCTTGACAAACAAGCCCACATTTATTCAAAGAGGGAGAAGAACATTTCATCTCACCCAGTCTAGGACTATAGTTAAATTGGTTACAAAATCTGTTGGTTGAAAATATTTTTCTTAATATGCTCAGTTGCCGTTAGCCTTCTCCACATTTATGTAAAAATCAAAAAGCTCTTATGAAACAAACAATTGTTACCCATTTAAAAGAACAAGCTTGGAGCTCCGCATTTCTCTACTTTTCATTTTCCGCTAGAAGAATGCAGGCAGCCGTGCACTTCAGAGCAGGTGAAAGAGAATGAGGCCAACAGTGACATCTCCATGCTGTTTTTCCCAGGAGAATGAGAAATCCACTTGGTAGATTGTCAGTGAGACTTTTTTCTTTTAGTAAATCATTTAAGTAACTCACTTCTAAATACAAAATTGCAAAATCTAATTAGAGTAATTTAATTGCCTAAAGGCAACAACGTGTTTTGACATAACTCTATAAACTCCTGCCTTTCCTTTCCCACTTCCTCCTCCTCCCCCTACTTCCCACCCCGGGAAACTAGCTGACCTGGAATGCTAACCAGCCCGGTAGGGAGATGTCCCTTGATCTGGGGGTTAGCAGAGAGAACACCTCAACAATGCTACGTCTGTCTCCACGAGCCTTGGAGTTAACCCAACTCTCCACGCGTTTTCCCAAAAGCAGCCATTGCTGAGACACAGAAGCGGCTCAGTTGAGGGCAATGAAAAAGCAACAGGCTATATTACTGTTGTCACAAAAATCACACCTATGAAAGTTCAGTGTTGCTGGTCACCAAAACAAGAAAAACACCAACCTCGTTATCAGAAGCTTTCCAGACAGTGTAATAAGAAGGAAAGAATGAGCCAGAAGAATGAGAAGGAGGAGGAGGGACAGAAAAATAAAGAAAACAAACAAACAAAAAGTTTTGTGGGCAAATCTATTCGATGTTATAAAAAAAAATTGCAAAGAAAACTGGTATTAGAAGATACCACTGGAAGAGTCTTGGTTGACCAGCTGCCTGTGCAACCAGATTTCCTTTGGCAGAACTCGGGAAGAAAGCTCAGCAGGGACGCTTTTGACAAATCAGGATGGCAGTAACTCACCTGCCTCGCCTTCAAATTGTTCCCCGGGAAAAAAGTCTTCTGTTTCTGAAGACGCATCAAATATAACGATGACAGGGATGAAATAAAGGCCCAAGTTTTCATGGTCAGGCTTCTAGCTCCTAAGAAAACTGAGTCCTTAGAAACAAGCAGTAAGCAAGTAGTTCCTTTACCAAATTGTGGGTTCGATGGCCAAGAGCTGGGCAAGAAAAGAGAAAGGCAGAGGTGTGATGATGTCACGGAGTACCGTTGCCAGGAAAAGGATTTGTAATGACAGTAGAAAAGGCGTTTCAGCCACTTTGCCACTCTTACTCCTTTTTAAGTGCTCTGGGTATTGGGATCTTATGAACGTCTTATTTCACATCCTCGTCAAACACAGCTAAGCATATCGTAGAATTTATAACTCCCACAAGTACTGCAGGAGATTAAGCTACTAGGATTTCACTGATGCCAAGATGAGCCTAAACATGTCAGCCCTCCTCTCAGAAGGTTCTTTGTAGTTTAGCAGTTCCCAGTTTTCCTCTTAGATCCTGAAAGCCAGGAAGAAGGGAACCCCGATTAGGACATCACAATTTTTATCTGAAGACTTTTGGGATTATCTGTTTACCCAGCTTTGGATGGTACACCTATGTGATTTTGCTAGACTAGTAAGGTCCCACTACAAATTGAGAATCTCGATGACTTTTTAAAAATATTTTTTGCATGCCATTTTAAAGTGTATTTTTAAATTTCAGCGCTTCATAATTTTTAGAGTTATTCATTGACATTTACAATTTTTTAATTGCAGTAAAATATACGTAACATAAAAAGTTCACCTTCTTAACCATTTTTGAATGTACAGTTAAGTAGTATTAAGCATATTCACATTGCTGTACAAACAGTCTCCAGAATGTTTTCATCTTGCGAAAGTGAAATGCTGTACCCATTGAACAACAGCTCCCAGTTTCCCCTTCCTCCTGCCCCTGTCACCACCATTCTGCTTTGCTTCTGAATTTGGCTACTCTAGATATCTCACATAAGTGGACTCATACAGTATTTGTCTTTTTGTTACTGACTTATTTCCCTTAGCATAATGTCCTTAAGGTTCATCCATGTTGTCAGGATTTCCTTATTTTTAAGGATGAATTATATTCCATTGCATGTATATACCACATTTTGTTTATACGTTCATCTGCCAGTGGACATTGGGGTTGCTTCCCCCTTTTGGCTCTTGTGAATAACGCTGCTTTAACATGCGTGTACATTTAATGACTTTTAAAAAAATGATTTTTAATGATGTTAAGGACATTGTTAGTGTGGCAGCTCTGTTTACTTTTTCCTTCTAGAAACAACTTGGCAGTCCTTGGGAATAATATCTTCAGAAGGAAAAGGCTACCCAGAAGCTATACTCTCCTTTTTCATTCTTCACAGGATAACAATTTCTTTTTTTTTTTAAATAAAATAGTAAACAATAAGCTCATCCTAAGAAGTGACATTATAGT